ACCGCTCCTGTCCCCGTCTGCGCCCCGCAGGCCCCGGCGCGGCCGGCTCAGCTCAGGCCCGCGGAGGACGAGCTGCCGCCTCCCCCGGAAGAGCCGCTCGGCATCCCCGAGAGAGAGGCGACCACAGGTATGGGCGCAAACCAGGGGGACGGGGGCCCCGCCCGTGCCCCAGCCCACACTCCAGGGTGACGGGCCGGCGGTTGTGCTGCGTGGCAGTGTTTATTTGGTGCTTTATTTGTTTTATTTTTTGGTGCGGGACACAGAGCACAGGGCCTTCTCACTACATCCCCAGCCCTTTATTTCGAAGCAGGGTCTTACTAAATTGCCCGGGGTGGGCTTGAACTTTTAAATCTGCCTGCCTCAGCCTCCCGGGTGCTGGGATTATAGGTCTATACCACCACATTTAACCTGCTCTTTTTTCTCTTTTTTTTTTTCTTTCTTTTTTTTTTTTCCCCCGGAATCGAAAATGGAACTCACGACCTCGCGTTTGCCAGGCAGGCGCTGTGCCGCTGAGCTAAATTCCCAGCCCCCTCTTTTTTATATAACTAAAATCGATTAAATATTGATTCACACAGCTTTTGCTATGTAATAAAAAATCCCTTGTATTTTTTCTCATTATTATCTTTCAGGTTTTTTTTTTTTTTTTTTTTTTGGTACTGGGAATTGAACCCAGAGCCTTCATATTGAAGGCTCCGGTACTTTTTTTAAAAAAAATTTTTTTTTCTTAAATTTTGAGACAGGAGGAGGCGGGGGTAGTGGTGCACACCCGTTATCCCAACACTCAGGAGGCTGAGGCAGAGGGATCCTTGCAAGTTCAAGGCCAGCCTGGGCTACAGAGTGAGCTCAAGGCCAGCCTGAACTACATGTCAAGACCCTGTCTCAAAAAGACATTAAATAAATAAATAAATAAATAAATAAATAAATAAATAAATAAAATATTTTGAAACTGGGTCTTACTAAATTGTTACGTTGCCCAGGCTGCGCTCAGACTTGGGATCTTCCTGCCTCAGCCTCCCACAATGCTGGAAGGCATGTGCTACCATACCCTGCTTCCTTCTGAACCTTTACTGGTCTCACAAAATACAAAATCAAAGAACTAAAATGGTTCCCATGGCAAGTCCCCTCTCAACCTCCTGAAATACCACCCAGCTCCCTGCCAGATGCTGGCAGCCTTTTTGTGTCCTGCCGTCCAGCCGGAGATGTTCTGGGAACTCTCGGCTTGTAGCGTGCAGTTCTCAGATGTGGTGGTGCACGCCTGTCGTCCCAGCAAAGCACGGTGTGTTTCCCCACAAGCACATGCCGAGTGTGCCTTACCCAAAACCCTGGAGACCATGAGTGTTTTGGTTTTTGGATTTTGGAGGATTTTGAGGTATCTGGGAGAGGCCCCCAAGTGCAAACACAAAACTCGTTTGGGTCTTGTGCATGTCTCGTCGTAGTGCGATTGTGTTTCCCCTGCAGCCCGCCGTGTGGGGTGTGAGATTTCCCACTTGTGTGTCGTTGTGGTTGTACAAAGCGTTTTGGGTTTGTTTTCATTTGTTTGAGACGGTCTCATTATGCAGTTTGGGCTGGCCTTAAACTCACTTATGTAGCCCAGACTAGCCTCTAACTCACAGCGGCCTTCCTGCCTCAGCTTCCAAGTGCTGGGATTACAGATGTGCGCCACCACGCCCAGCCACATGTTAGATTTTGGAGCATTTCAGATTTTGGGCTTTCTGACTCAGAATGCAGTAAATGGGCGGTCCTGTGTGCCTCGTGTGCTCGCTGAGTCCTGGAGCAGAGCAGACCGGGCGCCTTGCTGTTTTTCACAGCAGTACAGGACTCCTCGGGAGGACGGGAAAAGGTGCTGGAGTCTTGGTGCTTCCTCACTGTGACACCCAGCTGAGCTGAGCCACCGTGCACAAGCTGGTGCGGGGCTCTCGGAGGTGAATTCCTGGGAGGGGAGGAAGCACCGGATCTGCCTCCTGAGTCACCCACACTGCGCTTCCCGCAGACGAGGCTGCGTCACTCTAAGTCAGTCGAGTACACTCGTGACACAGCTGCCTCGGGCCGGGCCCTGAGGACACACATGGGAGTGAGTACTTGGGGGGAGCAGCACTGGGCATTGAACCCAGGGCCTTCACACTGAGCTCCGTCCCGGCTGCTCTTATTTTTTATGTAGATACAGAACATCACTAAATTGCCCAGGTAGGACTTGAGCTTATGATCCTCCTGCCTCAGCCTCCCAGAGTGCCCGGATTACAGGCATGCCCTATCACACCGGGAATATCTGCTCTTTTGTTGTTGTTGTTGAGACAGGGTCTCACTATGCAGCTCAGGCTGGCCTTGAGCTCACTTTGTAGCCCAGGCTGGCCTCGAACTCACAAGGATCCTCCTGCCTCAGCCTCCCAAGTGCTGGGATTATAGGCATGCACCACCACGCCTGGCTCTGCAGATCTGATTTTTTATTTTAACGTAGTCAGATATAGCAGCTCTGCCTTTTCTGGCTTCTGGATTTTATGTTGCAGTTGAAAAGGACTTCTCTGAAGTTATAAATAGTTGGGTCTGGTGGCACTCACCTGTAATCCCAGCACTGGGGAGGCTGAGGCAAGAAGATTGGCTGAGTTCAAGGCCAGCCAGGACTACATAGTGAAAAAAAATTTTTTAAGCAGTGGCCAAGTTTATTCAGGAAAGTAAAAGTGAAACATGAGGGGGAAACCGGCTCTGCAGAGCAAGCTTGGGCCAAGTGAAAGGAGAAAACACGATAAAAAGACACCTTGGAGTGGCCCGGGGATGTAGCGCCTGCCTGGCAAGTGCAAGGTCGTGAGTTTGATTCCTGGTACAAAAAAAAAAAAAAAAAAAGACACCCTGGAGAAAGGGTAGGCTGCTGTGAAGAGTATCAGAGTGAATTTAAGGCCAGCCTGAATTACAGAGCCAGACCCTGTCCAAAAAAAAAAAAGTACGTATGTAACTATAAATAGTTGTCTAGTTTCTTCTAGTGGCTTCATTTTTCTCACTTAGATCTTTGATTAATTCAAAATTATCTGAATATGAGATGTTGCTATTGCAACCTCTTTTTTTTTTCTTTTTTTTTTTGGTACTGGGATTTGAACCCAGGACCTTGTGCTTGCCAGGCAGATAGATGCTTGTGCCACTGAGCTATATCCCTGGCCCAACCTCCTTATTTTTGTAGATGACAGGCCAATTATCTTAACACTGCAAGTTTTTTGTTTGGTGTGTGTATATGTGTGTATGTGTGGTTTGTTGGTTTGTTTGAGACCAGGTCTCACTATGTAGTCCAGACTGGCCTTGAATTCACTATGTAGCCCAGACTGCCCTCAAACTCATAGTAACCCTCCTGCCTCAGCCTCCAGGTGCTGGGATTACAGGCATGTACCACCACACCTGGCTTTGTGTTGTTTTTTGAGCCAGGATCTTACTGTATAGTCCAGGCTGACCTAGAACTCACGACCCTCCTGCCTCAGCTTCCCGAGTGCTGGGATCGCAGGTGTGCGCCACCGCACCTGCCTATTCCTTTCTAATGCTTCCTGGAGCCTTGGTATTTGTCAGATAAAGAAGCCCAGGGCAGGTGGGCATCCTGAGGCCACGGCTTTGGCGTGTTCTGGTGGGATTCGGCCCAGTCCTCCAGGCTGGGCTGCCGACAAGCTGTTCCTCTCTACCCCAGACGTCTGTGCCTTCTGCCACAAGACTGTGTCCCCCCGGGAGCTGGCCGTGGAGGCCATGAAGAAGCAGTACCACGCCCAGTGCTTCACCTGCCGCATCTGCCGCCGCCAGCTGGCCGGGCAGAGCTTCTACCAGAAGGAAGGGCGGCCCCTCTGTGAGCTGTGCTACCAGGTACGCCCCGCAGCAGGAGCCTGAGGGCCAGGGACGGAGCTGGGCGCCTGGCACTCAGGAGAAGCTGACACTCAGGAAAGCGCTGGGCCGAGAGATTTAGCCTCCCTTGGGGGCAAATGCCTGGAATCCCAGAACTCTGGGAGGCTGAGGCAGGAGGAGCGCCTCCATTTTGAGTCCAACTTGGGCTACCTAGTGAGTTCAAGGCCAGCCTGAGCTACACAGAGAGACCCTGTCTCAAAATCCAAAACTGAATTTAAAAATAACAAAAATAGGTGGATAGGGGAGAGGATTGTGTGCTTTGCCTGCCCCACTGGCCGCAGGGCCTTGGCAAGGGGGTGCTGCGGGGTGGCTCTGAGCCTCGGCGCTCTGCCCAGGACACCCTGGAGAAGTGCGGCAGGTGCGGCGAGGTGGTCCGCGACCACATCATCAGGGCCCTGGACCAGGCCTTCCACCCGGCCTGCTTCACGTGCGTGACCTGCGCCCGGCGCATCGGTGCTGAAAGCTTTGCCCTGGACGGCCAGGACCAGGTATACTGCCTGGACGACTTCTACAGGTACGGCCACGGCCCCCTCCTCAGAACTGCCCTTCCCATGAACCTGCAGACTGAGGCACATAGCAACCAAGGACCCCAAGTCCCCCTGCTGGTGAACGCTTCTATTCCAAACCAGGCTGCCTGGCCGCACAGGGCTGTGGTCCCAGCACTCTGGGAGGCTGAGGCAGGGCAGATCAAAGGTTCAAACCCACCCTGGATCACCTAACAACTTACTAATGACCCTGCCTCAAAATAAAAAATAAGGCCGGGCGTGGTGGCACACGCCTGTAATCCCAGCACTCGGGAGGCTGAAGCAGGAGGATCATTGCGAGTTCGAGGCCAGCCTGGGCTACAAAGTGAGCTCAAGGCCAGCCTGAACTGCAGAACGAGACCCTGTCTCAAAAAAAAAGAGAGAAAAGAAATAAGAAATAAAAAGGACTGTGAGTGTTGCTCAGAGCAAAGGCCCCAGGTTCAAGCCCAGGCCTGCAGAAAAAGAAAAGCAGTGAGGAGAGTCCCGGGCCCAGACGTGTCCTCCCAGCACACATGCGCGTGCACGCGCACACATGCACGCGCACACACACCGGCCTCACCTCCAGCTGATACCCGCAAGCCCCAGAAGCAGCTGTGGCCCCGGCCTGGCCCTGCTCTGCCGCAGACCGGCGGCAGCACCGTGCAGTCTCGTGACCCAGGACCCCAGCCAGCCCAGTCGGGCAGCTCGTTTCCGTGACCTCCTCACTCGGTTCCCTCCCCCTAGGAAATTCGCCCCCGTGTGCAGCATCTGTGAGAATCCCATCATCCCCCGGGACGGGAAGGACGCCTTCAAAATTGAGTGCATGGGGAGGAACTTCCACGAGAGCTGCTACAGATGCGAGGTGAGCGCCTCCCCGGGGTGAGGGCTGGGGCGCTGCTCAGCCCTTGAGGCAGCCTGTCGACCAGAAGTGTGTTCATGATAGCCTTCTGGGAGGCTGAGGCAGGAGGACTGCAGCTCAAGCCCAGCAGTGCTTGGGTGCAGAAAGCCGGGTTTATGTCACCCCAATTGAGAAGCCGAGGGGACCCGTGCAGGGAGCCATGGTCCCTGGGAAGGCCTCTGGCTGCGTCTGGGGCTGGGGGCTGGGGTGCCCGGATTGACAGCTCCTGGGATGGGCTGGAAGACAGGTCCTCATCACCACAGGTGGGAGCGGGTCCCCTCCAGGTGCTGGGAAAGAGCGCACGTAAATGGCTTTGGGCGAAGAAGGGGGAGGCAATCCTGGAGAGAAGGTCTCGGGTTGAGTGGTTCTCCAGCTACTCGGAGAGGGGAGCAGAAGTCCCGGGAAGGAAGAGCTGATCTGGTGCCCGGCCCGGGAGGCCACACTGGGCAGCAGGGGCCAGGCGGAGCTTGGGAGGCCACGCAGGCTGCAGAGAGGCGCCTGGGAGTCGGTACCACCTGCAGTCAGGATTTTCACGGTGTCTTTTTTTTTTGGTCTGTTTGAGACGGTCTCACTATGCAGAGCTCAGGCTGAGCCTACTTTGTAGCCCAGGCCAGTCTCGAACTCGAAGTGATCCTCCTGCCTCAGCCTCCCGATTGCTGGGATGACTGGTGTGCACCACCATGCCCGGCTATCACTGGCATTTCTGCCTTCGCTGCTGATGGCGGTGTCGCTGGGCCCCAGGCTGCTCGCCGGCTGCCAGGGTGCCGGGAAGGTGAACTGCCTCACACGTACCGCTGTGTGCAGGTCATAGTTCAGGACTGATAACGCATCTTGAGAAACACTGACGGAAAACCACGGCTGTGACGTGCCGGGGAGTTCCCGCAGTGGCTGGTGTTCTTCTGAGCCCAGCCAGGGCTCCAGCAAGCCCCGCCTGTCCCCCGGGACCCTGCCGAGGTTGCCGTAAAAGTCAGAGTTGGGACTGTAGCGGTGCTGGGTCGGGACTGGAAACTGCGTGAGGGTGCATGCCTGTAATCGCAGCACCCAGGAGCTGAGGCAGGACGATCCCCGAGAGTCCAGGGAGTTCAAGGCCAGCCTGAGCCTCCGAACTCCGGATTTGTTACCGAGTTTCTCTCACAGTGCCAAGCAAGTAGGTGGCTGCTGTGAATGACAGCTTGGGATTTAGCGGCGTTCTTTGACTTGGGGTGGAGTTGCAGAGAGCAGCCACACGAGGGCGCCCTACCAGCCGGACAAAGAGGAGGCCGATGGCGCCCTCTCCCTGTGGCCACCTGTGACACCAGAGTTGCCTCCCTGGGGACCAGACCCTTTGGTGGGTTCCCTGCTAGCAGTGCCCTGACCGGGTCTCCTGCACAAGTTGTCCCAACTATTGTCTAGCGTGTGCACACGCAATGCCCGGATGAAGTGGGCAGGGAGTGAGGTCAGGTGCCAGTCCCCTCCCCCAAGTGTGGGGGGTGCGCGTCTGTAATCCCGGCACTCTGGGAGGCTGAGGCAGGGGGATCACAAGTTTGTGCCCCGTGCTCGCTTCGGCAGCACATGTACAAGTTTGTGCCCAGCCTTTGCAACTTAGCCAGACCTTTGTTCAAAATAAAGGCTGGGGTTGCCGCCCAATGTGAAGGCCCTCGACTTAATCCCCCAGAACAGAATGAAATCCTCCGTTCAGCCTGGAAACATCCGGCCCAGCTCCAGAACCACCCATGTGGCCTGGGGCAGCCCCCCGTCCTGCTCTGAACCTGTTTCCCCCGCAGGCTTCAGGGTCCTGAGGCCCGCGTGGCCCGATTCTGTGATCCCTTCAGATCTGTCTCCAAGCGTCCCCGTCCCGATCCTGCCGCAGGGACTCTGCTGTCGCCACCCACACCTCCCTGGGGACCAGTTGCCACAGCCAGGCCAGCAGGGCGGGGAGGAGCAGGGGCCGGTCTCGGTGGTCCGCAGAGCCCAGGCCCCTCCTGGTGGCGCCCCGCCCTGGGACACCCACACGTGCCTTTGTCCCCCCAGGACTGCAGTGTGCCCCTGTCTGTGGAGCCCACCGACCAGGGCTGCTACCCGCTGAACGACCACCTCTTCTGCAAGCCCTGCCACGTGAAGCGCAGCGCTGCCGGCTGTTGCTGAGACCCCGCCAGCTTGCCAGGCCTCGCTGCCTCAGTTTCCCTCCCTGACCCGCCCCCACACACTTTCCTTCCACTCCTCTCCAGGGTGCTGGGGCCCGGCCTCCTCCCAGACAGAGGTGGTGCAGGTCCACAGGGGCCCCCAACTTCTAGCCCCTCTCCCATGTGGGCACGGGAAGGCTGCTGGCTGTGACTGTCACACCCAGAGCCCCTCCAACCTCTGGACCAATCCATTTCGGGCTCTCCCAGTGGCCCCTGTATCCCAAGGGTACTGGGCCAGCGGTACACGCAGGGCTGAACTGCTGGAGGAAAATCTCCAAGATCACTGAAAAAGTGCTTTTTGTAGCCAGGCATGGTGACACAGCTCTGTAATCCCAGCACTGGGAGGCTGAGGCAGGAGAATGGCAGGTTGAAGTCCAGCCTGGGCAACTTAGCAATTTAATGAGACCCTGTCTCAAAATCAAAAATAGGACCAAGTGTGGTAGCACACACCTGTGATCCCAGCACTCTGGAGGCTGAGGCAGGAGGATCATTGTGAGTTCTAGGCCAGTCTGAGCTACACAGTGAGCTCAAGGCCAGCCTGAACCGCATAGCAAAACCCTCTCTCAAAAGGATTCCCCCCACCAAAAAAAAAATAAAATAAAAATAAAAAATGGTTGAGGACATAGCTCAGTGTGAAGGCCCTGGGTTCAGTCGCCAGTACCAAAAGAAAAATAGTTTTCGAAAGCTGTGAGGTTTGCGTGGTGGGAAATAGCCTTCCTGGGTTTGGGCGACAGCTTCTCTGCTTAGGGCTCTTCTTGGACGTATTGAGAGCGGACCTGTCCCTTGGACTCGTGAATGTCCAAGAATGTGACCTCCTGGTGCCTGGGACTCATCTTGTGTCCCCTGGGCCGCGTCCCCCTGGGGTGGGGCTGCGCCTGGGCAGGGGACGGGGGTCCGCAGACACCGGGCTGGGCCAGGGCGTCCTGTGTTCCCTGGATGGGGGCTGTCACCCTGCTGCCAACACGGCCCTGCAGGTCACCCCAGGGCCTGTGTCCCGAGTCCCCCTTGGCCCCCGCAGCCCGGCCATCCCTTACTGCTGCTGCCAAAGGCCTCAGCCAGAGACTTCACCCCACCTCACCTGTGTTTTTCTTTACAGCACTGGAGATCACACCCAGAGCCTTAGCACTGAGCTCCACCCCAGCCCTTTTTAAAATTTTTTAATCCAAGGTCAAGGATATAGCCCAGTGGCACAAGCACCTACCTGGCAAGTGCAAGGTCCTGAGTTCGACTCCCAGTACCAAAAGAAAAAACTTTTTTTTTAAATCTTGAAACAGGGTCTCACTGAGTTGCCCAGGCTGGAGGTGATCCTCCTGCCTCAGCCTCCCTCAGTGCTGGGAGTACAGGTGTGTGCCCCCAGCCCAGCTTCCCTTCCAAGAATAATCGCTTTTGTTGCTCCATCACTTCTGTGACACTGTGTAGAACAAGCCAAAGGGCAGTGCATTTATCCCCAGGGACTTTCCCCGCGGGCAGCCACGCGCTCCTGCGCCTGCGCGAAGCCTGGCTTCCCTCCCCTGGAACATTTCCCAGCGTCCCCGGTGCCCAGGCCAGAGCGCAGCCGCCCTGAGCTGGGAGCGGCGCCCCTGGCCGCAGCTCCCTCTCCACCGGCCCTGTCCCGGGCTCACTTGCTGCCGCCGCCTCTGTGCTGGTTTCTCCTGGTGACCCCTTGGCCACACTGAGCCACGCACTTGCATGGCCACCTTGGTGTGAGCCATGTTTTCCTTCTGCTACAAATAAACATGTACTGACCAGACACCACTCCCTTCCATCTGTGGCCTCATGTGGCAGTGCCAGCCTGCCCAATCCTGCAGGGTGTGTGTAGAGCCACTCATGGTGGCACACACTTATAATTCCAGCACTTGGGAGGCTGAGGCAGGAGGGTCGCTTGGAGTTGAAGGCCCGCCTGGACTAGCTCACGTGAGCCTGTCTGTTATGTGTTGGGCCGAGGGTATAGCTCAGTGGCATAAGCACCTGCCTGGCAAGCACAAGGTCCTGAGTTTGATTCCCGGTACAAAAAAAAAAAAGTGTGTTGGGCAGATATCTATTCGCTGTGGCCTGAGTGTCCTAAAGTGTCCACACCTCCTTCCCCCCTAAAGCAGGGCCACTTCCTGAGCTCGCTGGACACGGGCCGCCAGCAGGGAAGGCTCCAGGGCCACCAACAGCCACCTTCCCCGTAGGCTGGTTCCCCTGTGACGCCAGACCGAGACTGTGATCCCTGGAAGCACGGTGGGAAAGGCCTCTGGCCTTGGGGACCAGCCCCTCGGGCTCAGAGCCCCCTGCACCCCTCTAAAAACTGGGAGCAGCACTCGAGGGGAGAAGGCATGGGTGGCGCTTCCCTGGGGCTCCACGATCACAGTCCTTGCACAGACGGGCATGAGCCGCCTCCATCTGCAAAGCTGAGTCTATTCCGCCCAGCACAGCCAGGGAGACCCCACAGCCTGTGTCCCTGGGGCATTCTGACAGCCCATGTTGGCAGTGCCCCCTTAGCGCTTGTGGGCTCTGGGGAGGGCTTCAGGTAGGGCTTGCTCCGGGCACCGGGTATGGGGCAGTGCAGCTTGCGGCCAGGAAGCTTCATTCCCTGAGACATTGCCTGCATGGGGCTCAGGACATCTGCTGGGCAGTGCTGCTTTGGGCCTTGACTCAGCCCACTGTCACTGACTGTCCCAGGAGTGGCCGGGAGGACCAGGCCCAGCCCCTGCTCTCAGCAGCCACCTGTCTGTGAGTCACCGAGTTTGGTTTGGTTTTTCCCTAAGAAAATGTAACTTCGGGTTGTGTCCCAGCTTGTTTCTTTTCTTTCTTTCTTTTTTAATTTTAAAGAGAGTAGTAAAAGAAGAAAAAAAGAACAATAGCAGCATATCAACATCACAAACATAAAACAAACAAGCACATTAAAAGTGATACAGGGTTTCAGAACAAAATGGTGCACACCTGTAATCCCAGCACTCGGGATGCTGAGGCAGGAGGATTGTTGTGAGTTCGAGACCAGCCTGGGCTACAAAGTGAGCTCAAGGCCAGCCTGAACAGCATAGTGAGACCCTGTCTCAAAAAGACAGAGGAAAAAAAAAAAAAAAAAAAGGAATTAACAGTGGTTGTTGGGCTGGGGATTTAGCTCAGCGGCACAGCGCCTGCCTGGCAAGCGCAAGGTGGTGAGTTCAATTCCCGGTATCAGGGAAAAAACAAAACAGAACAAAAAACAGTGGTTGTTATATATTGTTACCTTCAACTACGTTGCCCGGATTACCAGATGTAAGAATGGAAGATTGTTCAAACCATTAAAGAGAATAAAAAAATAATTATTAGATAAAACATTAGAGATAATACAGAGTTTCACTAGACAAGATGGCAGGAATTCACCAGTGGTTGTTCCACTGCATATTGTTGTCTTCAAATCAGTTGCTCAGATTACCAGATACAAGCATGCAAAATGGTCAGAACATAAAAAATTTTAATCATTAACCATTCCTTTCAATAAACCATCAGACATCAGCAGTACAGTTATCCCAGCCATTCTTCTATATACATATATATATATTTTTTAACCTGCCGCCTTTCTTTTTTCTTCTTTCCCTCATCCCAGTTGTTCCTTCCTTTGAGCAATTTCTTTCCCTTTCATAGCATCTGTTGTGCGTTTTGAGTTTTGCTTACTCTTTCAGGTTCCTACACCAGGGAGACAATATGATGTTTCCACGTGTGGGTCCGATATTTTTCACTTATGAGTAAGGTCTCTAGTTGCATCCATTTACCTCGTTTCTCTTTTTATTTTGTTTTGAAACAGGATCTCACTATGTTGCCCAGACTGGCTTTGGTGTTGAGGCAGTCCTCCTGCCTCAGCCTCCTGAGTGCTGGGATCACAAGTGTGTGCCTCCACACCTGGCTATTACTAAATCTTAACAGAAATTCTGACACTCACTACAGCGTGGTCAGCCTTGGGGACTGGGATAGCCAGTTGCCAAAGACAAGTGCTGTGTGATCCACTCACACAGTAAGGGTCACCCTGCTGAGTGGATGGTCAGTTCCTGGAAACAGTCAAGTGGTTGCCAGGGGTTGCTGGAGAGGGAGGGACAGGGGTGTTTGATGGGGGCGGGGTTTCCCCTTGGGAAGATGAAGAGAGTTCAGTGACAGCTGCGCAACAGGGAGAATGTCCTGAGGCTCGGGAACAGTATCTCGCTCTGTGTCTCTATCCATCTTGAGGGCTGGGCGTGGTGGCACACACGCCTGTAATCCCAGCACTCGGGAGGCTGAGGCAGGAGGCTCTTTGCAAGTTTGAGGCCAGCCTGAACTGCATAGCGAGACCCTGTCTCAAAAAGACTAAAAAATTATTAATTAATTAATTAATTAAATAAAGATGTCCATCTCAACCGCGGGGCCTGGGTTCCATTCCCAGCACCAAAACAGAGATATATTTATACACAGAGACGGAGGCGGAACTGGGAAAGTGGCCACGTGCCGCAGGAGCCCAGGGTGGGACTCGTCCCCTGCCTGGGTCCCGGGAGAAGGTCCCCGGGGTCTGCGAACCCTGGGCGCCTGGGGACCGAGACCACCCAAAGGCAGGTGCGGCTCGTGGCCGCTAGAGGGCGCCGCGGGCCCGGGAACGGGCGGCACCGGATTCCCACGCTTCTCCCGGGCTGCACCTGCTGCAGCCTGGCCGCGGGGCGGAGGGAGGGGCGTGGCGGCCACGTTCCCCTAGTCCCAGCGATCTGGAAGGCTGAGGCAGGAGGGTCACATGTTCGAACCCAGCCCGGGCAACGTGGTGACTCAGTGAGGCTGTCCTCAAAAAGGGCCGGGGATAGGGGATTTAGCTCAGCGGCAAAAGCGCCTGCCTGGCAAGCGCAAGGTCGTGAGTTCGGTTCCCGGTACCGGAGAAAAACCAAAAAAATAAAATAAAATAAAAAGGGCCGGGGATGTGGCTGGATGTGGGGTCCTGGTTCAATCTCCAGTGCCTTTGAAAAACAAAAATTCTGGCCAGGGATATAGCTCAGCGGCACAAGCGCCTGCCTGGCAAGCACAAGGTACTGAGTTCGATTCCCGGTACCAAAAAAAAAAAATTCTGCGTTTGGACCACAGGCCTCCCGCGTGCCAATGAGCTGGCCCCTCCCCAGGTACCCAGTGTCCGCCTCCTGTCCTCGGGGAGGCGCCTCCAGCAGACCCTGCCCCGCGCCTCCAGGCCGCCTCCCCCGGGAACCAGCGCGGACCGGTTGGGAGCTCAGCCTTCCCCCGCCCTGAGCCCGGTCAGTTCGGGGAGCTGGGCCCCGCCGCGAGCGGACACTCCCACCCGCTGTGCAAAGCCGGCCTCGCCTCCTCTGCATGTGGACGTCAGCTTTGGTTCCTGGGCGCCCTTTGAGCTGGTACAATGCCCACCCGCTCCCTTGCTCTTCAGAT